TGGTCCACAGCTGTTTTGCTTTAATCAATCACGATTTAGTTAACATAGTCTTTTTGTCACTTGACTGCAATCTGCCATTTTAAAGCAAAGCACACGTATTTAGTATTGTGTACCAGCATTAGTTGAATTTTTTTCTTTTAAAATGTTGTCAAAAGTGAAACACAGCCGGTGAACTACAATTTGTCAGTTTGAGATGTTAGTTAAAACACTTTGGCTCTAGCTGGGGCTGGATTTAGGCATTTCAAGACCCTAAGCTGAACTCTGTGGGCCTCACACAGAGTTCAACTTAAGGCCCCAGTAGTATGTATTACAGGAACCAAATGTTGAAAGTGCACAAGAATTATTAAACTCTATGATAAACAGGAATAAATTTTGTAAACAATCAAATGATCATCATATAAGTGATGAAACATCTATATTTAGAACAATGTCCATCTGCTGATCAGACTGCATACTTAGAACACCCTCCAACTGATTTGAATACCCCATTAAGAAATGTTTACAGTAAGTGGATATATTATTTTGCAATATTAAGTATTTAAAAGATAAAATTTTTTAAATTATAGTTTTTGTGACTATAAAAAAAAATGAAAAATCTGTTGGAAAATGCATGGCAGAAAGCCTTAACAGATCCGAAAATCAAAAGTTACAAATTTTGAAAAACAGAGCAGGTGATGAATGAAATTACAAGGAATATTGAAAAAGGCCTGCCCTATAGCATCAATTCATGCCAATAATAAGATCATTTATGGTAGTTTGGATATCTGTGGGTAGTCATGGAGCAGACATGTTCTTAGTTCAAAGATTCCAGGGAGGTCATGGAGTGAAGTTAAACATGTCCATACATGCTCAATGAGTTACAAGTTGGATGATCTTGCTGGCCATTCCATATTAAGCAATGTTTCTGAGTCTAAGTAATGGTCAACAATGTGAACTATGTGAACTCATGTTATTGTTCATTAGAATAGCATGAGAGCCCATGGCCAGAAGAAATGGACAAATATTATGTACAAGGTCATCTCTATACACCACTGCAGTCGCACTGCCACAAGGAAAGATATGGAAATCAATGTTGCTGCCAACTGCAATCACTGCCCAAACCATTAAACCTCCACCTCTTTATACATGCATTTTGTGGATGTTATTAGCACAATAGCAAGTTCCAGGTATTCTCTAGAGCAATAACCATCAGGAATCAGTCTGCAGACAAAACCTTGACTCATCCAGACTACAGTACCCTATTGTTGTGAAGACCTATTCAGATGAGCTTGAGCCTACTTTAACTCAACCTATCTATGCAAGAAGGACACAGTGGAACACAAACTGGTGGTCTTGCATACAACTGGCCAGCAGGTAGCCATCTGGAAACAGTTTGCTGAGATACCACTCTTTACCAGACATAAAATACTAGCACACACAAACTGGAACAATATACTAAACAAACAATTTGACACCTAAACACTAATTCCAGCAATAAAATGAACTAATAAACTTTAATGCTCAAACGTTTTTGTCTGTCTTTCAGAGGCCCTCATCAGGAATGTAAGAAACACAAAAAAAAACAGTTCTCAAAGTTCACTCCAATTTTAACACCAGAGTAAAATCCTGACTTCCCTAAACATGTTACTGGCGTGTAACGCATATAAGATTTATACAGTGGGTGACAAATGTTTTCGAACTATCTCGCAGTTCTTCCTCGGGTCAACTAGCTTAGGAATGCTTCCAAACGGAGCATGTGGATTTATAAAGCCAGCCAAGTAGCCACATGTGTCAACCGGAAGGAGGAGCTAAATCTGTTGCTGTCCTGGCAGTCCCTTTTAGATGTCAACCCTTGGCTATCTCTACCAGCTCATGACCACGCATGTCAAGCAAGACTGACTTCGTCAAAATGACATTCGAACCCGTCGAATTCCACACGCTCCATTCAGAAGCATTCCTAAGCTAGTTGACCTAAGGAAGAATTGCAAGATAGTTCGAAAACGTTTGTCACCCGCTGTATATATCTTATACACTTTACATGCCAGCAACAGGTTTAGGGAAGTCAGAACAAAAAACAGTTCTATCTTTTGAAAATTTCTAACCATCGAATATAGCTGTGTTCCAATTTTTCAATATTGTAACACAGCTATATTCAACACTGGCATTAAAATGATTTCAGATCCTCATTTTTCAAAATTTGACTATCTCAAGTTTTCTTCTTGAGTTTGTAAAGTGGAAATACAGGCTCTGCACTAAAAAAGTCATTTTTATATCTTCTATGTTTCCTTATTAAAAATGTTCATTCACAAAATTTTTTCTGAAAATGAACATTTTTTCGACATGAGTATGCTTGTCATACGTGGTGTAACAGAAAAGTAATGAGACAATTTTTTTGCAACAATTTTATTTTATTTTTATACATTAACGTTATCTCCTTGAGCAGCTATACATCAGCAGAGGCATTGTTGCCAGTCTTCGTAGCAGTGTTGGAAGGCTTCAACTAAAAATGCATGCAGCTCCGTAGTTATGCTCCTTTGTACGTTATCAACAGTACCAAGATGACATTCTCTTTCAAATGGGTTTTGATCTTGGAAAACAAAAAAAAGTCAGTCGGATTGAAATCAGGGTAATAGGTGGCCTGGTGAATCACAGGAATCTCTCTTTCTGTCAAAAATTGGTTGATGGAAATAGCCTTTGTGATAGGGGCATTGTCATGGTGGAGCATCCAAGAGTCTGCAATGTCCCGTCTGATGCAAAGCATCCTTTTTCTGAGCCTTTAAGGACTTCTTTATAAAAAAAAACTTGGTTGACAGTTTTTTCTGGAGGCAAAAACTTTTTGTGAACAATCCTGATACTATAAATAAAGAATCTTCAAATACCAGATTAAAATACAAAATATAATCCTTCATCAAACCCTTTAACTGGTATTAAACAAGAGTAAAATACATTAATGCTACCAGATTCGTCGTACAACAAAACAACGTTATCGACAAACTACACAACAAGGTTAAATGCTTATCTAACTCTAAACTGGCCGCAGCTCTTGGAATGCGGGATATAGTTATGGATGCCCCAGATATGCCCAAGCTTTTTGCTTTTGCTAAGACACATAAACAAGGCCACAAATTGAGACCTGTAGTTGATAAGGCCACAGCACCCATGCGCAAATTAGGAGCATTCTTGCATGATTTCATCTCTCCAAAGTTACAAGATTACCGATACTCCATCTCCAATCCGGCGGAGTTAATAGTATTCCTGAAAAACACCAAAAAGCTTGCATACATCTCGGTCATGGATTTCCGTTCTTTATATCCATCAATTGAATTACCACCATGTTTTTGCGCACTCCGAGATTTTCTATTACAAAACGTTTATGCTCAGGAATTACACCAGCAGATTCTTGAAGTAGCACATTTGATTTGCTACAACTCAATTTTTCAATTTGGAGGAAACATGTATGCGCAGGGCAGAGGCGTACCTATGGGAAGTGCCGTCTCAGGCGACCTGTGTGAACTGGCAATCAGACAGCTGGAAAATAAAATAATTCCAAGATTCAGCCACGACATCATATTGTACAAGTGATACATAGATGACATCATTATTTTATGGAGGCACGAACCTAACATTACCCTCTTTGTGAATAAGATGAACGACAATCCGTATGACCTTACCATAGAACTTGAGCAACATAGTGAATCCGAGGTACATTTTCTTGACTTGAACATTGCATTTGGAGGAGACACCATATACACATCTGTCTACTGCAAATCTTGTCACCTCCCAACGTATATCCCAGCGAACTCCTGTGATCCGTTCTGATATAAAATGGCAGCATTTAGAGAACTAGTTAAGAGGGCCTACACCCATTGCTCAACACAGGATACTTTAGTTCAAGAATTGAACTATTTGCATAACATCGCTAGTCAACATGGATTCAACACCATGGTCCATAAATTAGCACAACAATTCACAAACGGCCTCCCACCTACTCCTCCACAGAACAGTGTAGAACAAGACCACCGACTTGTTCCAGTCACATGCAACCCGTTCCTAACATCCCTGTATCAAAAAATAGCTAAAAAACAAGGAGTACACTTAGCATACAGAAGATGCCCGTCTATGTTTAAGCTTCTATGCAATGAAAAAGATAAACCTAACGAGTATAAGCTACCAGGGGTATATGCTGTCCCACTGACGGACCATAGATTTGAGAGGGAACTGGTCTACATTGGCGCTACTAAACGGGCTATTGGTGTCAGATGGACTGAACACCGACGGGACATCCTCCACAAAAGGGTTCTACATCATTATCCATATATGCGTCAGACCCGGAGATTTTGGCAAACTTCAACAACGCCAAACTCCTCATTACCACACCGTTTACAGACCACCTCAAATGGTTGAAACAAATGGAAATTTGCAAAGCTTACAACACTTCTGCACCTATTAACTCAAGGGATGACATTACTCTGTCCCTAGCATGGCAGGCCCTACTCCAGAAAGAGGATTCACATTAATAAANTTTGTTTGTACAAAATAAAGAAATAATTTTTAACGATACAATAGCCATGATTATTATTTTAAAAAGTTAACATTAAGCTTAACATCGACGAAAATTCAACGCGAAGCGACACGCAATGGAGAAAAATTTCAGGATGGGATAGGTTAATGTATTTTTTCGTACATAATCAGTTAGCCGAAAAATAAGTTATCCGAACAACCCCAGTCCCCAATTGATTCAGATAAACGACGCTCTACTGTACTGCTTTTTTCATTTAACAATCTAAATTTATATGATTAATAATCTAGTAATTTTAGTTGCTTGATTCAGTATCAAATTCAATTTTTTAAACAAAATTTCTTTTTACCTTTCTCCATCTGAAGACAAAATACTAGCAGATAAAACAGATATGTTAGATTGTTTCCTTTTTTTTAATGAACTTGGATTAAAGAACAATTTACTTGTAGAAGCGGGTATCTCGGAAACAGGGAATTTTGGTAATTTCAAGCCAGAATATTTCATTCTTTTCTTACAGTTTAAACATAAACAAACCTGAAAAATATTTATGAATAATTTAATTAGGTTGTCGACTCATTAATACAAAGTAGATATAAACAATTGATTAAAGTAGCCCTACATTAAATAGTAGATGAAAGTTGACAAACATTTAACAATTTTAACTTCTAAATTTGTTTGATTCATAAGAAAAGAACTTGAGTTGACAGAAATACTGAAAACAGTCATCTAATATTTAACATAAGGCTCTTTTAATCACATAATTGTTTTAAATTAACACAATTTAATTTTTATTGTAATTAAAATTATGTTATTCATTTGTTAAATTATTGTAATATTAATAAATATATCAAAAAATATATTCATAACATCCAGAATATTTTATGCCATATGACTGATCTAGTGGCTTTCCACACAGTAAATGCAAAATTGCATTTCTTCTCATCCTTTTGTCTCAATTCATCCCTTCTGATTTATTCTTCATTATTCCCGACTTTTGCCGAATGTAGCAATGCTTTTAAAGTGATGTAGTTTTTATTATTACAGAAATTGCTTTTAGCCCTAAGTATAAATTAATTAAAATATCTATAACCGTAAGGCAGATAATAGTAATATCATATGTTGTCACCACTTGTGCTCCAGATGTGCAAGGTAACACACCTCCTTTGTAACCGCTCCCTGCATCTTGTAGAAATATCTGAACCTGCAACTCTGTTGTCCTACTGTTTTTGGTATGTATATAATTTAAACTGACTGCATAACATTAGTTCATAACTGTTAACCAATAATTCAGCTATCTCATAACTATTTTTGTATCAGCACCCTGTTTGTCACATTACCATGCAAAGTTAGGAAGAAATATTACTCCCGTCTACATTGATAATGCTTACTGCTCATACAGTCATGGCGACGTTTTCATCTTTATATTGTATAGCTTTAGGCATAGTTTTAAGTTTAATTTTAAATTTATTATTTTTTTCACCTTGTATAATTTTTAAGTATACTAAGACCTCTCATTAATACCGACTGATGAGGGACTATTTTTCTATTGGAAAATAGTCTGAAATGCATTTTGGATTTTTACGGTTTTTATACTTATTGTATACCCCTTTTTGTTTTATTAAATGTTTTTACTTTGATTCTTGAGTGTTTGTGCCCATTATCATTGGTGTGCCCTTACTATTAACTGCCTCACAGTTATAGATATTTTAATTAATTTGATGAAGTTTTATCATAAAGCCCAGTTAACTCATTTTGTAGCAATTTTTTCACATCTTTCCTTGTTATGTTCCTTTTTAAAAGATAACAAGATGGATTCTTGCCAATTTTACCAAAAAATGGATTAGATTTCATAGTATGAATGTCTTAAAATTTGACATTTTTTACTACTACAAGATAGTTTCACTACTGATCTAATCACAACTTGGCTTGGAGTCTCACCATAGGAATGCTTTTTTTTTATACTTCATTATACTTGATTATCTCAGTTCCTATAATAAACATCATTTTATATATACACAATAACCCAAACTAAAGCATAAAACCAATTAATTGAAGTAAAGAATAAACATTTTTTTTGTGGTCCTAAGCCACCATCTTCAGTTTATTCAGTCATTCAAATGTACAACAATATGTATTTGAATAATATAGAATATTTTAATTTCAAACTGTAGAACATTAACATTACATGCTATTTTAATTAATTGGTTTTATGCTGGAGTTTGGGTGTATTGTGTATGATGTTTATTGAAATCTCCAGTCCAGTTCCATTAGTAGTAGTTGAATATCATTTTTGTTCCTTAACTATTTTACTATAGGTAACAAGTTTTCTATTGACACAAAATGTACTGTAGTGAATTATTTTTAATTAAAATTTTTTATCTATAAATATCCATGTTATTCTTACATTGAAATGTGAAAGTTGTCATCAGTTTTATATGAACTGTCTTTATAAATAGCTTCTGCAGTCAATATCTTACAAGAAGAGTACGTGAATATATTTGCATGGACATTCCAAGTACTTGTTGCAAGATGTGGGAACACTTGAAAAGTTTGAAAATGAGCTTTTTTTGGAAATATCTCAAAGATATTACAATAAATTTATCTGCTTAGATTCTATTCATTGAACAGAAGAAACTGCAGGAAAAATTACATACAAAAAGTATATTCAATATCCAATTCATTATTTTACACAATTACTATGAATAGAACATGTCTTAATGTGTATTAAAATTTCATAAATTTTTAAATATGTTAATAATAAAAAGCTTATTGGATTTTTTTTTATTATTAATTAAAGCCCAGTGGATTTAATTAATTGAAAATGACAGGATACTCAGAAATTGAAAGGACACTATACACTGTATGTTGGGAAAACATTTTGGTAATATTGGTGATATTTTTATATCAGAAACATGATTTTTAACCCACAACTTGTATTTTCATTAATGAAAAGATCAGTCTGTTCATTTTTGGCATTAAACAGTACGAGAGCCAGAATGAAGTTGGAGCATCTAGTATTTGCAATTGTATTATCAAGTTTTTTTTGGTGCTTTTTGCAGTTATTTATAATTCTCTCTGATAGTTCTTGTAAACACTGTCATTAGAGGCTTTTCTCATTACTTCTCATAACTTCTATAACTCAGTAACTCCATAGATTGTGCTTGTAGTTCAGCTCTGGAACACAATCTATGAAGATGTGTTCTTGCCATCCCTGTCATCAAGTGAAACTGTTCTGTAGTATTTATCTATTATTGCAGAGTAAACACACCAACAGCACAAGCTAAAGAGAACCAGACTGACATTTGGGCATCTAGTTATCACAACTGTTCTATTAATTTAAGATTTCTTTTGTGCTTTTACAGATGGTCAAATTAGACCATCTGTAAAAGCACAAAAGAAATCTTAAATTAATAGAACAGTTGTGATTTCTATTTTGAATGTTTTGCATTAAATTGTGTTGTACTCTGCTATTGTAAGATGGTCCGACTCTCGTCTTATCACAATATAGTTTTTAACAATATGGATTATTGATAATAATTTGAATAATAGATTGAATCTGGAATATTCTTACAAAACATGCAGTCAATTAAGAATAAATCATTCACTGTCTGGAATTATTGCCTAGATATCATATAGATAGGCTGCTTCCTCCTCCTAGGATGTCATTCTCATGTGGAATTCAACTGATGTAAGCAGGTATGTAGACTACAGTGTTCCATCAATTGGACCTTTTCTGGATGATTCCAAATTTCTCTTTAGTCAAAGAAATAAATCTAATCTATAAATTATTTAATCATGCTACTCATAATTGTGTCCTGGACAAAAAAGTTAATTTAAATTCTAATCATTGGTTCTCTTTGAGTTAAATATTCTTAGGAAATTATATGATGAAAATGGAAACCTGGAAAACCTAGATAACTCTATTTACATAGAACAATTGAAAATATTCTATTCACAATGCCAAATTTAATTTAATGATTATTTTATTATTTCTATAGTTAATAAATTTCCATACAATACTAAAAAGTTCTGCAGTTTGATTGCAATTAAAATTAAAATTTTTGCTTTTGATATTCAAATTATAATTCTACTTTAAGATATTTCAGCAATATAATGCTTTTAAATATAAATTATATTGTATAAATCACAGGTAAATAAATGCATTTATTCAAAAACATTAAAATAAAATAAAAACTTACGATTTTATTTGATTGAGATTTGAACCGAGCCAATTTTTTCTTATCTTTCATACTCAAATTCCAAGAGCGACTTTGTTCTTTCTTATGTAACCGTAGAATTTGCTTGGAAACAATAGGTCGTGGATAAATACGAATTTTACAGTTGTCGGGTAACAACGGATTAAGACAATTTTTACAGAGTGAACAACTTTCTTTTTCTGAAATAACTTTAAAGTACAAATAAATGATATATATAAATGTTATAATTAATTATAATTAATAAACATCTAATAAAAAAAATGTATTTAAACTCTTTTATCAATTTCAGTATTTTTAATCAATGGTTATTTTCTACATCTTAAATATGTTCACTCTTGAAAAGGATGTGCAGGCTCGTTAGAATTGTAAAGGAACACCCAGATGACTTAAGTACAGTTATGTTTTCTTCAATTCTACAAAAATTTACATATGCTATGAAAATGTAACATATGCAATTTGTATATAGAGGTCAATGTTTAGACCACAATGAGGGACAAGTCAAAAAGTAGTTCACAGTTCTTGTGTCCCCTAATTTATAGATCTAGGAAGGAGGTTCTGCTTCCAAGAGTATGCCCTCTAGTATCGAGAAGGGCACTACATGCCACCGCAGTAGTCCCCCAGTGATGTTAGTCACAAAGTTTTTGCAGGAACCAAACTGTCCTTCCAGTGTGCATTTGGTACACTTCTCCATGATTATTGCAGTGAAGTCTGACACTGTGTCCCTTGCTGTAGAGTCTGCTAGGCTTTCAGGTAAAAAGGCTGGTTTCAGTTGGTTGATGGAGATTTCCTCCTTTCTTCCTTTTATCCTTAACATAAAGTGCTTCTCTCTCTCTCTCTCTGTACAACTATTACAAAGAAACCATTGTAGGTTGGTTGCAGTGGTGTTTGCACTGCATCTCAGTGTGTGAAAGAGTGTGTGCTCATCAATAGGTCTGGATGCACAAAGACTTTCGCTTGCACATGGTTTGATGTTAGCTTGGGTGTCAACCTCTGCATACACATTCATAATTGACAGGTAAAGGTAGTTGGGTATGTTGGCTCCAATGTGGTTGCTTCAAGGAACTCATCCAGGAGTCAAAGGCTGGTGCCATACACCATCTCTGCACAGGTAACTTGGAGGTCCGGTTTGAAGGCTGAGTGTATGCCTAGGATAGTAGGGAAAACTTCAACCCACAAAGTTTAAATAAAATGTTACAGCACAATACATTGATTGTGCTGTAACATTTTATCACTACCTTAAGTGGCCAATGTAAGTAGTTGACAATGCCATTGGCCTTTGGGTTGAAAGTAGTGATACATAGATTGTTTATTCTCAGCAGTCTTATTATCTCCTGGAACAGCTGTGCCTCAAATTGTCATCCTCTGTCAGTATTAATCTGTTGGAAGATGCCAAAACAGGAGATCCATTCACTTAGGAATGCATGTGTGATAGTTTTTGCTGTTATGTCAGCTATAGGAACTACCTCTGGCCAACGTTTGAATTGGTCAACCATGGTCAGAGCATAGGCATAGCCCCTAGAGATAGTGGCAGAGGTCCTATCAAATCTAAGTGGATGTGTTGAAAATGTTCATTCGGCAACAGGAATTTCCCTGGTGCGCTAAATGCATGTCTCTGCACCTTAGCCTTCTGGCAAGGTATGCAAACTTTAGTCCATTTGTTACTCTCAGTGTTGATAGTTGGCCATATGAAGCATTCCTTAAGAAGCTTGTTCATGGCCTTAATTCCTAAATAGGAAAGGTTGTGTAGAGTTTGTAACACAGTGAACTGATGTTGTTTCAGTATATAAGGTTACTATTCCTGTCGAAATGTCACAAAATAGTTCCATCTCACTATCTGGTAGTGCAACTTTCTTCAGTTTCAAGGAAACATTCTCTGATAGGTATTGCAAGACCCCATCAGTTTCCTGAAGCCTGTATAATTTCAAGATAATCAATGATTGAGATAGCCCTTATCTCTGTTATCCAAGAGAGTGTATTGCCAACTGCATTATTTACACCTTTAATGTAACACAAATCAGTTGTAAACTGGCAAATAAAATTGAGCTGCCTGTTTTGCTTGGGAGAACTTTTTCTGCTTTTTGCCTGAAGACAAAAATCAGGTTTATGGTCAATCTGGGTATAAAATTGCCTGCTCACAAGCAAGTATCTGACGTGCTTGATAGAAGCATAAGCAGCAAGCAATTCCCTATTATAGGCACTGTACTTCTGCTCTGTTGAGGACAGTTTCTGTGTGAAGAACTCAAGAGGTTCAAACTTGCCATCTGTGTCTGTCTGATGAATAGCACCTCCAATCACATAATTGCTAGCATCCACACACAAAGCCAACTGTGCCATGGGGATGGATTGGTGCAAGGTGAGGATGGACAGTTGGTGCAAGCAACATTGTTAGTGCCGCTTGAACCAACTGTTCTTTGAAGCACAAAAAAGCTTGTTTTATCTCTTGGGCCCAGCTTATACAGCAGTTATCATTCTTTGTGGCCCCTTTAGGTATTTGTTTAATTAATTAACAGCAATTGACTGTCTGCAGCACAAGGCAGAAATCATCAATAGAAATTAAGCAGCCCCAATAATTGTTGAAGTTCCTTTATTGTTTGCAGTTCTTTGTAGTCCAGGAAAAGCTGTATCTTGTTTAGCAATGGCTTAACACCTTTACCACAAGCTGTGCGCCCTAAAAACAACAGCCCTGGCACAAGTTTGCATTTTGCTACATTTAGCTTGCGGCGACAAATCACGGACTGGTGAGATGGCACNGATGGTCAGTAGATCGGGGTTAATGAGCGAGTCAGACCGGTGTTTAGGGACAGAGTCATACGAAGGGTGCGACGGGGTCCGTCGACTCAGAAGTGTTGTGTTGTTTCCTCTTTGTCGCAGTTAAGACACACTGGTGAGTCCGCAAGGCGCCGAAGGTGCAGAACATTGTATTTCAATACTGCTTTAATACTTTTAGATGAGCAAACCAATGACATAGTCCGTTTCAAATCAAACGGACCACGCCATTGGTTTAACACATCTGTGTAAGCAAAGTTTTCAGATATCAATTTAAAATATTATAACGTGTTCACATATAATTAAAATTTTATTGCTGAAAAAATTAAATTTATATTATCTTAATTGACAATAGTGTTCTCATTTTATGCAAAAAATTTAAACATTAAATGGAATTTATACGAGCCGCAGCATCGGGTGTTGCAAACGACAGTACTATAACTTGCGGCGACAAATCACGGACTGGTGAGATGGCGCCACTCCTCTACGAGTTTCCCGGGAATCCCGGATAGAAAAACGGAAACTGGGTTTTTCCCAGAGAGAATTCTGGGTATTGTTGCTTCTTCTTGTCGGGTGATCGCTGCCATGAGCACGTGTAGCACTCTTTCAAGTGTACTCGAGGATTGTTGTAAATAAATGTTGTTTTAGTTTAAAATGTGGTCGTGGCTTACCTAATTCACGTTTACAACCTTCTGATAAAGACAGTCTTGGTGGAGATGTAAATGGATGGAGAAAGACGGCCAGGTTTCGTCTAACCGATGGCGGCCATCCATTACCTCCATTGGTGACCCGAACGTGATTTTACGTGAATTCGAACATCAAGGAAAGAACAAGACCTTTACTAGTTCTGCATTGTGTTCCCTCAGTGGATAATACGGAATAAATTCCGCGACTACGATAGACGACGCTCTTTAGATAGGTGAATTGCTCGCCACTTCTAACCGGCGAAATTGTCCCCACATTTGTGCGTCCGCAATTTCTTGCCAGAATAAGTCATCTAACACGGGTAAGTGGAGTTTTCTGTTCCATCTCTTTTGCCGTTCTGCTGAGTAGGTGTCACCTGGTTGTCTTAAAATGCCAAACGAAATCGATCTTAAGCCAGAAATCAGTCGGGCAGCTCTTAAACTTCCCCAATCTTGGCATAAAAAAGCCGATTTATGGTTTATAAATATCGAGGCCCAGTTTAAACTCGCTGATATATCGCAAGATACTACTAAGTATTACGCAGTGGTTTCAGCTTTCAACTCGGAAGTGTTAGCGTACGTGAGCGATATCGTTAAAAACCCTCCTAGGGAAAATTTATATCAAACACTAAAAGATCGACTCATAGCAAAATTTTCCCATTCCGAACAAAAACGAGTGAAAGATTTGCTGTCTAATGCCGTGTTGGGAGATGATAAACCATCTCATCTTTTACGCAAAATGCGACAACTAGCTAGTAATAAAGTCGGGGAGGAATTTTTAAGAACGCTATGGATTCAGCGTTTACCCAAAGAAACTCAGGCGATTCTTTCTGTTTCTGATGGGGATTTAGACAAATTAGCCCAAATGGCTGATAAAATTCTCGAGCTCACACCTTTGCAAATAGCTAAAACTAATTTAGAAAGGAACGAAAATAATACACACGCGGCCATAATGAAGCTCCAAACGCAGGTCGCTGAGTTAACTGAGCAAGTTAATCGCCTAGCAAGGCCCAGCGACAGACAATCACGCGATTATAGACACCCCTGGAATCGTCAGCGTTCGCAGACACCTGTTCGACCCCAGGCAAAAGATCTATGCTGGTATCACGCGAAGTTCGGTGATGAAGCAAATAAATGTAAGGCCCCTTGCAAATTCCGAGCAGGGAAATTAGCTCGGAAATCACACGTGGCGCAAAGTGATTTCCAAATTAACAACACAAGCCGCCTATTCGTTTACGATCCAACCTCACGTCGTCACTACTTAATCGACAGTGGTAGCGACATTTGCGTTCTACCATATAACGCCGCCATGGCATTAAGAGCACCCGCCTCATTGACACTTTATTCGGCAAACAATTCCCCGATAAAGACTTACGGCACAAAACTCATAACCGTGTCCCTAAACTTAAGGCGCCAATTTACGTGGCCTTTTGTAATCGCAAACGTCAGCAAACCAATAATAGGCGCCGATTTTATAAGACACTTCGGTCTCCTGATCGACTTAAAAAACGCCCGCATTACAGACCCATTAACGTCCTTGACAACGACATGATCTGCTCACCACGGCGCGCAAACTAACATTACTTTAATTGCTTCTAATTCGGAATTCAGTGACATTTTAAACAAATATAAAGATATCCTTTGGCCATATCCATCTAGCACCAAACCCAAACATAACACGGTCCACCGTATTATTACCAAAGGACATAACGTTTTTTCTCGCCCCCGNTCACTTCCAAGTTCTGGGTTACGGAAATATCCAAATAGGCACTTAAGTTCGTTGTTACGGTATAATCCAAATAGGCACTTAAGTTCGTTGTTACAGAATAATCCAAATAGGAGGTATTGAACGGGTCTGGTTGATGCTTCTTTTAGAGGAACGGCAGCGACTGTGTCGAAAACCTCCGATTGTCGCTATTTTCATTTGACAGTTTAGCAATAATAGGTCAGAAGGTTATGTGAAAGCGTCTTTTCGCGACTGAGAACTGGCTGAGTAATTAACTCCCAGGTGTGAAATTTGATACTTTCTAGATAAACTTACTATTGTTCACGAGTTAGGTCAGGCGGTAGGTTAATAAACACGGCTGAATCTCACAAATGGAAGGCACCAGCAAAGTAGTTTTAAATGTCAGGAAAGTTAAACTACTCGTTGCTGGAATTTTTTAACATCTTTTCTAGAAATTTGTAACTTAGTATCGTATGTTCTACATCTATTTACTTTGCCCTGTGATTTGGAAAGTCCTGGGCTTAAGCCTTGTTATTTCTTATGTAGATCTGCCACTGTTAAGAGTCAATATCCCATGGAAACTCTTCCTGAGTGGCATACTTTTTAGCAGATCTGTTGGTCTACCAACGGAGTACTTCCTTTGGAAAACTGATCCATATTTACAAGTTAGACACACGTATAAACCCTAAAATTTTACCCGAATAGCCTATTAGTTACGCGGGAACCCGCGAGAAACCACCAGTGTTCTGTTGTTTTGTCCTAAAGTACGTGCTCGAAGTTTTCCCTATTATGTAGGGTGAAATTTGAGCATATACTGTAGGAAGCTGAGTCTATAAATATTAATCTTTTCAGATAAAATAGTACCGAAACGAAACGATTTTCCATTATTTTTGGAAATAACAGTAATATTGTAGTAGACCTAAGTCATTTAATTATAATTAAATAGCTTTTAAATATCTTTAACATAAGATTTTTCATCTGTCATCCTTTTTATTGAAAACGAGAATAATAAACACTGTAACGGACACTTTGTACCATACATGTGATTGGTCGAGTTGCCAGTGGTGCGAAGCCATTGTTCGTTGGATTATGACTAAACGCCCCTAAGGCGGAAGACCCCTAACCGCGAAAACGGAAGTCGTTGGGAGAATAACCCTGTGCGGTACGAGAGGAACCGCAGGGTCAGTCACTCTTTGGCTTGGTCTCTGGTTGTGAGGACGTCGACGAGTGCAAGAAGCAAGAAGAACGAACGTATACCCCAGAATAGATTGGAACCTTGGGGTACGGACTCACCATTTGAACTTGTACCTGGCTAAGATTCCCGTTAGCCGTAACA